TTGATTCAACAATTGAGATTCTTAACACCTCTAGTCGCTAGCTACTCGGCTGAAGTTATTGGTGCATTTCAGAATCAGTATATACAACCTTTATTACAAGACAACCTTTTTAATCGACAACAAACATTGACTCTGAAAGCGACATTTTTCGTTTCCACTGCATTAACATTTCTGCTTTATGGAAATGAAACATGGAATATCACGCTTTTCGTGAATTTCTGAGCCACGGAATGACGCATGGCAAGTGTCAGCAAATTGCAACGTATTTCTGTGTCTCCAGTTTGACGTTAACGAATGTGACAAGGTGAAAAAGATTAATTTGAGCTAGTCAGAATGAGAGACAACAGATGGACAAAACAGAATGCCGACTGGTATTAAACGATGTTATACATACACTAAGAAAGTGTCTAGTTAAGCGAAAAAGTCCACATGAATTCTTGTCTAGACTTACATGGAAGCAGTGAGCTTAGAATAGAATAAATTTGAAATGTTGCTATTTGTGTCGTTGGAAAGAGGAAAAATGAGAAAGAAACAGCAGCTGATCAATGTGTTAAAGCAAACCATTTCCTCGTAAATAATTTTTTTCAACTGTCTCAGTCGTTAAAGTAACTCGTTTTAGTCTAAAACGGCTGTGTTCCAAACGAGATGCTTTGTCAGATGCTAGGGACATCTCCAGACGGATAAAATCTTGCCCAAAATGATTTGTCAGAAGAACTGTTGAACTGGTCCTCCTTCCAAGAGACGTACCTAGCTTCAGGATCGCCAGCAGGCCAACTACCAGGCGTTGCAGTTCTGTTCAAAGCAATTCGAAAAGTTGTCAACTGCATGGTCGGAGAAACAACGAGTCAAAATAAGTATGAGTACATGAGTAATTAAGTCTTCGGAATTGAGATTTACTGGACATGCTATTGACAATTCCAGATCACATAAAATATCACGCTGCCGTCAAGTTTTGTCATTATTTTTTCTAAGATTTTCACGGTTTCGATAAATCATTTTAATGCCTCAGTAGTATCAACTCGCTGCTCGAAAGGCTGCTATGATTTTCAAGGACCACCCACGTTAATTACAGGCTTGATGATAGCACTGATCGCAGAAAAGACATGAATTATATCGATATCGCGATTCTGCCTTGCGATGAAAAGGCATCAAATTATCAAGGCGAACAATTAGCACACTAAAAAAATGAGTAGCTGAGAGGAACTTGAGGAACGAGAAATATAGTTTAACTCAGTAGTGGCACATACCGACTGAATCTCCAATGTATTTTGGAATTTTATTTTCCATCAGACAAATCTGAATTTAATTTTTTCGAATTTTTTATACAAGCAAATATTCTTTATACGTATGCGCCTTCAAATTCGTGTCGCACCGCAGGTGACGCTAGCGACAAAACGTGATATAACAAACTGACATTTTACTGAAAAGACTGGTTCCGTCAAAGTAAACGTCGGCGTACTTTGCGCAGGAACCGCTTGTTGTCGATCTTAGCTGGACACCTCAGATTAGCTTTGCTCCTAATTGCTCCCTCATATTTCTGGTAGATTTTATCGATGAATTCGGTTTTAGCTTTATTCCAGGCCCGTGTTCGAGCATCCGGGTCATTCGGTGTTGATTGCGCATCCTCCTCTATCATCGAATAGCGTTGATCGGAGATCAGACGCAGTGATATCGACATTGCTTCTATAAATTTTTATATTTAAACGCTTCCCGTAACACTCTGAGGAAGACGGTTTTTGGATCAAAATCTTCATGACCTATAAAGTTAGCCTAGGGCAGTTGAAAAGATTCTCTTTAAAAGTTAAAAGCCCTTTCGCATTGTGAAAGAAGGACCCTGGCAAAGCTACGCTCGGCGCATGAGAGCATCCTAGTAACTCCAATAACATGGAATACCATATGGACGCCCGGGCATGTTTTTTAAAGAATCAATAAACGCGCCATAATTTATAAAAATTTTTTTTATGCTGATCTTAAAAATGGAGAAACGCACGAATTCATAATAAATGGGCTTCGCACATCGAGCATATAGGACAAAAAAGCTTGTTAGTGACTAGGCCTGCAATTTGTCTTCGCCTAAATAACAATGACTCTCGATAGCCCAAGGTATGTGTGGTACTCGTGGGGAATTAATTAAAGAAAACGGACACAACTAACCATCAACAACGGCTTGCGCATATCGAGCTATCCTGTTGTGATTATTGCCACAACGTGAAACAGCCTGAAAAACCCTTTTTTTAAACCACAAAAGCGAAAAGCAGTAAAAAACATGGTAAATTTAACACTTTCCTGGATCATAAAGAAAATCAATTGCGCTAAAAAGTATTCAGTCAACAAAAATACCAAGACTGTTCACGCACCAGTGCGGATAACCCACGTTAGTGATGTTACTGATGTTACTAGGATGCTCTCACCGATCCGTGCATAGCTGTGTCAGGCTTTTCCGAAAAAAAAAACATTCACATTATCATGCTTTCCTGAGTCGTATTACTTACTGGCAAGGAATCTTGATTTGGATCGAATAGATGCCTATATCGCATTGCACTAATGATTTTCGTATTAGTATACTGGATGTGCTACACGCCTTACTGGCAGCTGGTGGCTCGGAGTATTAGTGACTGGTACCTGAACTAATTGCTCACACACTGAACGGATAATGGATGCTGAACCTAGGTACGCAATCTGGGATTGAAGAGCTTGGAATAACTCAGCTTGTGGAAGCAACAAAACTACTAGCACGAAAAATTCATACCAACTGGTTGGCTGATATTGTTATTCTTAGTACATCAGACACATTGGGACCAAAATGCTAGCGATAGATACCAGCATATACTGAGGAAAACAAGAAAAACCTGAGTTAAAATATCAATCCACAGCTGGTCGCTTTCATCTTCGACTGGAACAATTGCAGCCTCTCCGCCAAGCTCATTTCCAACACTGATCCCGGAAAGTTCGGACTGGAAATCCGGGAATGTACTAGGAAGAGGTGTACTTAAGTTCTCGATCGTTTGCCGGACGCCACTTGCCACGGGGGACGTTATTTCGCTAGAACATAAAAACTGAATTTAGTTTTCATTAAATTTTCGTAATTCTAAAAGCATAATTTTCCTGTAATTAAATTGATCCGGTTTTTCAAATTTTCATAGATCTTAATTTTACTAAATCTCTCCTCTTCTGGCTCGCTCAAAAATTGCCGAA